TGGAGGACTTGAATGACTCCTTCCGCCTCGCGATGCAGGATCATTTCTACCGCCAAATGAAAAAATGCCGGTACATGCAGTTCACTCTTGTCCTCTATGGCCATTGTAACGACGAATACGGTACTGGAATGAAAAGATACGAACGATTGCTATCGAGAGTCAAAAACTTCATACACAAAGAAAGAAGGCAGAGTAACCGTGAAAAGCAGCGACTACTGCTGAACTCCCGCGGTCTCCCTGCAGGAGGCGAGAAGAGCGGGGGGGGGAGGGAGAGCGCACCAGCAAGGGCGGACCGAATCTTTATCTGAAAGACGTTCGCTTCAAGAGGTCGGTGCCGTGAAACAAGTTCCCTCAGGGCAAAGGCCCACGCACCCGGGCACAGCGTCAGCACCAGCATCCGAAGGGAAGTGGGGGGCCCGCCGCTCCAGCACAGGCTGCGCCTGCCCAGTCGGGCAAGGACAGCGGCAAGGGCGGTGGAGAAGAAGAAGAAGAAGAAGATGAGAGATGAAGAGAAGGGCGGTGGAAAGGGTAAAGACAACGATCGCGGCAGGAGCCAAGAGCGTCCCTCCGACTGGTCCAAAGGCGGCGGCAAGGACCGCGATCGTTCCCAAAGCCGCGCCTCCAGTGTCAACTCCACGAAGAATGGCTTATGCTATGCATCTAGCCGTGGAGCCTGCCCCTTGTCTTCCGAGAAATGCCCCTGCGAGCATCGACAGGCTGCGCGGGAGGAGAAGCTCTCTCGCGATAAATGTGAGGCGCGCATGGACAAGATAGGTAAAGCCCTCCCCTACAAGCGCAGCAAGGATCATATGTCTGCCGCAGCACAGAATGCGAAGAAGAGCGCTGCACCCGCACAGGGCAAAGACAAGGACAAGTCGAAGGGGAGCGGCAAGAGCAAGGAGAAGCGACAATGCTGGAGGCACCTGGCCAGACAGACCTGCCCATTGGGAAAGGACTGTTGGGACAGGGGCAATACCCCTGGACACCCGTGACCAGAGAGGCCGGCGTTCGGTGACTATGTCACCGGCGCCGTCCTGGACGGGGCTGAGGCGGATCGCTGTTGCCTTGCCCCGATGACGGGAGCGCCCTTATTCGCCACTCCCGCGGTTTTCTGCGATGGATCAGGATTCCAAGCGCCGCCATTAGGCAAGGCGCCAGCCCTCGAACAAGGTTCTCGTAGGGGTGGGCAGTATACGGATGACCACGTGTTTGAACGTGACAGAAGCAGCCTGGCTGCGCAGGCACACGCACAGAGTGGGCACACGCACTGCACTCGCTGCCCCGGACCCCTTAAATGAGCTCCAAGAGGACTGCGGGAGGGCCCCAAGAGGACCCTAAGAGGGCCTCCAGACGACCCCACAACGGCTGCCAGAAGCTTCGTCCTCGTTCTCCACCTTCTCTTCGTCCTCTTCCTCCTCGCCCTCCTCTTCCTCCTTGTCCTCCTCCTCGTTCTCGTCCTCGTCCTGGGTCTGATCAGGATGATCCACAACTTTGCCCCACTGTATGATTTTACACTGTCCTGATCAAGGCAACTCGCCTGGGCATCGTTTCTGAATGGGCTGTTTGGGATGCACAGAAGGTCGAAAACTATGGCGCATCGGTGCCCAGGCGACATGGTCAGCAAGCGCCCGTCACCCAGCACACAATATAAGATGTCGAAGCGCGCGTCGCCCCTTATGTGAGGGGTGGGTCGGGGAGGGGCGGCACACATACACACACACACACACACTCGTCTACACATAGTTATATATATATAGACGTAGAGATGTATACATCTACATGGCATGATATATGATATATGCACATGTGTATATATATATTTCTATATGTGTAGAACGGCATGTACCAACATGTACTGGTACATTCTATTCAGATGACAAGCATATAACATGTGTACAAAACATGCGTGTGACATGATCCCGATGCAGCACACGAGTCCCGAGAGAAGCGGGTCAGGGGCCCCTTCGCCGCTGCGGGGCTCTCAGACCGGGGCCCCCCCGCGCCCCGGGACTCCCGACAAAAAAAGGCCCGCGGGGCTGGAGCGCTGGTCCTGGGCAAAGGCCCTGGGGGTCCAGGACCCTGGGGGAACCAAGAGGGACCGATGCCGCTGCTCCCCAGACCTCTCCCGGGGTGCGTTCTGGCCAGGATCTCGAGGCGAATCCAGCGGTGGCGACGAGGGACGAGGGCCTCCCAGGAGGCCGACAGAAGAGGGGAACGGGCGCGAAGGACAGCGGCATCGGTACCTTTGCCTCCTCTGAGACCCGTCCCGCAGGACCCGTAGGCGTCTCGGCTGGCAGGCCGCCAACCACGACCCCCCGCCGCTGGCCCCAGCTGGGAAGGCGATCCCCTTCCTGCCGTCCGCCGACTGCCCTCTCCGCAGACTCTGGCGCAGCCGCCCGTCGCTGCTCCGGCCGTGGGGTGATCTCACACGCGCGGCGGCTCTCGGGCGCCAGCTGGCTTCGGGCATGACCGGCCGTGCCTGCCGCGACTTTCCGGAAGGGGTTGCTTGCTTCCTCCCTACATCTCTGTGCACTCTCCCTTCCCCCTCCCCCGCTCTCCCCCGCCCCCAAGGTGTACCCCGGGAGACAATCGGAAAGAAAAGGGTAGGGAGGGGGGTGGAGTCCAGCCCAGCCCGAACCTGCCCAAGCGCAACCCCGCGAGCAGGCACCGGGGACTTGGAGGTGTAGGGCCTGGAGGAGGTGAGTGAACTAAATCGCAGCGGCGCCAGATGTGAAGTTACTGAGAGCCTATAAGACAGCGCAGCCCGTTCAGCGGCGCTCTGGGCCTCAGGTCACTGGAGGCCGGCATTCAGGCCAGCATGTGGAGAAGGACGGGAGGAGAAGCAGCAGGAGCAGGACCAGGAGGGCCGTCGAGAGCCTGCACTCCCCTACGGATGCCACGAGGCCTCTGGAGGCCTCTGAGAGGTGGGCCTCCAGGGCTCTCGAGCCCTCGGCCCGAGACCGGCTCTGCAGCCTGAGGGTGCCCTGACGGTCCCGGGGGCCCGAAGCAAGCCTTCGCGTGGCGGGCCCCGGAAACCCTCCACCGAAACATATGGCCATCTCGTGACGGCCAAGCTTTTCACTCCTGCCGCCTTCCGCCGGCCTTCCCTCCGCGGAGGCCGCCTCGCTTCACATCCACCGGCTTCCGCCGCCCTTCCGCCGCCTTCCGCCGAAGGCGAGGGGGAGGGGGAGGGGGAGGAGGAGGAGGAGGAGGAGGAGGAGGAGGAGGAGGAGGAGGAGGAGGAGGAGGAGGAGGAGGAGGAGGAGGAGGAGGAGGAAGGAGGAGGAGGAGGAGGAGGAGGAGGGAGGAGGGGAGGAGGAGGAGGAGGAGGAGGGGAGGAGGAGGAGGAGGAGGAGGAGGAGGGAGGAGGAGGAGGAGGAGGAGGAGGGGTGGTGGTTCCTCGGTCCTCGAAGGCGAGGCCCCTCCTGGAGAGCCTGCGCGTGCCCGTGGGCACCGCTTCCTCCTCGGGCAGGCGACGATGGCTCCTCATCCTCCTCCTCTCCTCCTCCTCCTCCCTCCGCCTCCTCCTCTCCTCCTCCTCCTCCTCCTCCTCCGCCCTCCTCCTCCTCCTCCTCCTCCCTCCTCCTCCTCCTCCTCCTCCTCCTCCTCGATGTGAGATGGGTCAGTCCTGGCCCCCGAGCTCTCTGCAGAGGCGCCCGGGCGTCCCCGAGCCCACGGAGGTGGGGCCCCCGCGGGAAAGGGCCGCGGGAGCAGCGGCGGGGGCAGCGGCAGGGGCCATGGGGCAGCTTCGGGCACGGGAGCAAGGGCAGGGGCAGGGGCAGGTGTTGGAGGCCTGGAAATTGGCACCAACACCAGCACAGGGGTTTGCCTCCACAGGGAGATGATGATCTTAGATGTCGGTGTTGGTGGTAATAGTTCGGTCACCTTGGAAGCCAGAATATCACCACCATCACCGAGATCCGGATCGTCTTCCCTCGGTGGAGGCACACCGCCGATCTTGGTGTTGGTGTCAATCTCTAGGACTGCGAAGGTGAAGGCGCCGCGCTTCGTCAGGAGCAGAACCCCCCCAACCTCCGAGCCAACGCGAGGCGCCCACGAGGCGCCCTGGGGCGCCCACAGGCGGAAAGCTCAGAGCTGCGTGGGGGGAAAACAGCGAAGGCAAGTGCAGCAGCTATCGCGCAACGCGACGATCAGTATTCGACGACGGACCCAACACCACTAACACATTCTAACGACATGTGGCCACAAGCTGGCTCTAAGCTGACAGCGCCACGTATAGCATAGTAAGGAAGTGCTTATCCGCCACCGTGCTGCTAGGCACTGAGTGGAGTACCCTCAAGCCCATCGAGTTCTCTTTGTTTTAGCACGTACCCTACATACACTTTGCAGGACCTGGAGCCCTCTCCGAAGCCTCGGGGGCCTCACATAAGCTTGTCAAGAGCCTCTCAATAGCCTCCCTCTCAATAACATCTCAAGAGCCTTCCAAGAGCCTCGCAAGGGACCCACCCTGGAAGCCTCTCGAGAGACTTGCATAATACTCTCAAGAGCCTCTCGCGACCCTCCAAGGAGCCTCTCAGGCGACTCTCAAGAGCAGATCAACATTAGTATACCAAGATGCATTCCCAGGGGTGAGACTATAAACCGTCCATTCGATATCGCAAACAAGCTGGCCTGATTATTCATAGCCGGGTTATCCAGCTTACAACTAGGTCCGCCAACGTACGACCTCCCCCGAACCTCCTTTCTCTCCCTGAAGCCGCGATGCGATGCTCGATGCTCCCTCCTCCCTTCCGTTCCGTTCCGCAGCGGCTTGGAACGTGCCCGACCGTGGGAGCAATCGGGCACGGTGTGGGGCCGCAGCTGCACGAGAGCGGGCGCCACTCCCCTGGAGGCACCTCAATCACAGCGCCTCCCTTCCTCCCCTCCCCCCCCGCCCTCCCTCCCCCGCCCGCCGAAGGACCAAAGGGGAGCCTCCCGCCCCCGAGCCTCTCGCCCCCTCCCGAGAAAATCAGGGGGCGGCAGGGGCGCGTCACACCCGCCTGAAATGGGCGTCGGTGGCCCGGGCGATGTCCTCGCGCGCCCGGGGACGGGCCCGCCCGAGGCCCAGCGGGGCGCGGGGCAAACGAACGAGCGCCGCAGGGATGCAGATCCCCACGACGGACTCTGCCTTGGAGTCCGCCAGGCCAGCAAGTTTTTTTGCTCAGAATATGCTGGACTTCAAATGCTCCGCGACGCGGTGGTCTACTCTGAGGAGGGGGGGAGGGGGAGGAGGGGGAGGAGGGGGAGGAGGGGGAGAAGGAGGAGGAGGAGGAGGAGGAGGAGGAGGAGGAGGAGGAGGAGGAGGAGGAGGAGGAGGAGGAGGAGGAGGAGGAGGAGGAGGAGGAGGAGGAGGAGGAGGAGGAGGAGGAGGAGGAGGAGGAGGACGCTGCGACAGGAGCACGTCGAGCTCTACCATGCCTTATCCAAAGTCACCAGGGCGGGCTCGTGGGACTTCGCCGGCGCCGCATCGACGCGCTGCCGGAGCCGAGGATGGCTACTGCACCGGCAGCTGGCATCGAGAAGCAGGAGGAGCTTGAGCAGGGGCAGGAGGAGGAAGGACGATCGCGGCACCCACTGCACTATCGACCGCGGATCGCCGGAGCCCCTCGAGTCACCATCTCTCCGAGCAAGGGCCACCGCCACGACAACGAACGCACAAAGACGCTACGGCATGCCACGCTCACGTTTTTCGGGCCTGAGGGGCCCAGAAGCAAGGGCAGCAGGAGGCAAGGACAGGAAGGAGGAGGAGAAGAGGGGCGAGCAGAGAAGGAGGCAGAAGGGGGAGCAAGAGAGTCAGAGAGAGAGGGAGAAGGAACAGGGCGAGAGCGAGAGGTAGCAATAGAAGGCACGGGGGGGAGGACGCACGGGAGAAGGCGCAGGTAGGCACGGCCTCTGCTCACTGCTCCCCCCTCTCGCCAGGACTTGGGGGATGCAGATGAGAAGTGGACGCCACCGGCCCCGCCCACCATAAGCCTCCTGGCAATAGAGCAGCGGACACCGCCGTTGTAGTCGCACTGGCTGTGCTGGCGGTGGTGATGGTAGTGGTGGTAGAACAAGTAGCCATGGTCGTGGTGGGAGAAGTGGCGGTGGCACGAACGATCTTGATGGCAATAATGTTGGCGGCACTGGTGGCTGGGTAGAAGAGTGATACCAATTGACGAGTAGCAGATCGTGCTTGGTAGCCAGCAGGCACTGGCAATAGCAATGACAATGCTCAGCTGGCGCGGAATGGGACTTGGAAAGCCAGACGTGCCAGGGGCACGGAGCGCGACCTTCGAGCTGGAGGCCCTCGAAGCCTCTGGGCTCTTCGCCCGCGGGACGGGACGCCTCCATGACCGCGGGCGCCGGCCGCGCCAGCACCAGCCGCGCGCTTGGAGCTAGAGATCGGACCTCTCCAAGCGCCGCCGCTTCGGCACGGCCCGGCCGCGCTCCCGGGCCTCCAGGGAGCTCCTGTCGCTGAGGGGATCCCCGAAGGGCTGGAACCCCGCGTCGGCCGGGAAGTAGCGCCGCGCCACCTCCAGGTGCAGAGCAACGTCGCCGATCATGGGCAAGTCGTCGCCGCGATCGTACGCCTGCCGCCGCGCCGGATCCGCGAGCGCGCCGTGGGCCTCTGCGACCCTTGCGAACTCCGCGTCCGAGCCGCCAAGGTCCGGATGGCACCGCTTGCCCGCGTCCTTGTAGGCCCTCTTCAGCTCCGCCGGTGAGAAATCGGCCTGCACCTGCAACGTAGCGTAGTGATCGAGCTCCGTCTGCCTCGCCACGACCTCCGCCTCGCGCGCTCCCGCTCGCCTGAAATGCTCGGCCTGCACGTTGACCTTGCGCCCGCCGCGCGTGCGGACCAAGATGGGGGCGTGGCAGGTCCCCAGCCCGATGACAGTCGCCAACTCGCCAGCAGCCCACATGCCGTCGTAGTGTGCGACCGCCTCCAGGATGTCCCCCATGCAGATGCCGCCCGCCACTGGCGCCCTGACGCCGCGCCTCGCGCGTGCGTGCGCGTGCAGCAGCCAGCCCTGCAGCCCAGGCCACCCCGGGTCCGCCACGAGCACCCGCTCGAAGGCCTCCACGGCCTCCGCGGCGCGCCCCGAATCGAGCAGCGCCAGGGCGTGCTCGAAGAGCGCTGCGCCGTAGCGCGGGAAGGGGACCAGGGCGGCCTGGGCGGCATCAAGAGCGGCCGATGGCTTTGAGAGGCGCCGGAGGCAGAACGCCCGCTGGACCTCGAGCGCCGCCACCGTGCCCGCGCTCCCCGCCGCCGCAGCCCTGGCGGCCAGCAGGCCCTCAAGCGCCTCTGGAGCTCGGCCGTCCCCGCACAGCTCGCGCAACCCAGGCTCGGGCACGAAGTCGCGCCCCGGCCCCTCGTCGCCGTGCGAGGGCAGACGTGGAAGGCTGTCGGCCATGTCCTGGCTCGCGCGTCTCGCCCTCTCGTCGTGCTCGCGCTTCTGCCTCAGCAGGTCGTTGAGCTGACCCTCGCTCATGATGCCCACAACTTGCCAGGGGAGCTCATCCGCGGGGTCTTGTGGCCCGGAGCCCTCGGCCACCACCTCTTGGCCACCCTCCGCAGTGAGCACGCACGTGTGGTGGCCAGCGCGACTGAACCTGTCCGTGGGGATTGCGAGGCACTCCGCCGGGTCGCGCTTCTCCCCGCGCTTGCAGCATGCGCCGGGGGTCCCGAACGCAGAGTCGCAGGCACTGCAGTAGCCGGCCGAGCCGCCGCAGGGCCCCCAGCAGTCACACAGGCCGCCGCCGCCCCTGCAGAGGGGCACCTCACCGCCGTCGGCGCGCCGCAGCCGCCAGGCCTGCGTCCGGAACGTCTGCCCACCCTCCAACTCGATATGCACGGGTGCAGAGGGGCCTTCTGCGGTGCCGCCCTGGCCTTCAAGGAAGACGACGGTACCACTGGCGTTTGCCTCCCACAAGGCGTCCAGCACCGTCCGCGTTCGCACCCGCTCTCCTGGCTGGAAGCGGCCTGCGAACTCGGGGCGGCGCAGGTGGCTCCAGACTGGGCCAGCGCCAGGCAGCAGCGTGCCCCCGGCGTGGCCGAACCGATCGCGGCCGCCGCTGTCGAAAATGAGCCACTCCATCCTCCCACCGCCGGCTGCCTCGTAGCTGTGGCCCTCGGACCCGTCGGCGTAGACGTGTGCCATGCCCCACTTACTCTCCTCGTTGACGTAGGTGTGCTCGGCAAAATGCGGCAAGGAATGGTCCCGCTCCACCCTGCGGTACAGGCCGTCCATGCCCGCGACGCCGGTTGGCATGAGGGAATAGGGTCCTGCGGAAACAGATCCTGGACCCTGGGGCCGTCCCCGAGGCCAACCTTTCATCCCGAGCCGTTCTTTGACGCCCCCAGGGCCCGGAGGGGGCCCCTGGGGGCCCTCCAGGCGACAGACATGCAGGACCCCCCTTCCTTGGAGGCCTCCGAGATGGGGTCGGCGTAGACGGGGTCGGAGGTTGGCGCCGCATCGCCGATGCATCGGTGCCGTCGGCGCGGAGAAGATCGGACCCCACACCGAAGCGCATCGCAGATGCATCGCCGATGCGGCGCGATCCTCCGACCCCATCTACTCGAACCCCATCTGTCAGGGATCTACTGACCCGGGTCAGTCCAGACCTGGATCAATCAGGTTTGCAAGATTCGGGGCAAGACCCTGCAGGGTCCTGCAGGATCCTGCTCCCAAGCCAGCCCGGGCCAGTGTGCAACCCTGGCCCTGCAGGATCCTGCAACAAAAATCGGCGCCCTGCCTGACCCCTGTTTGCCTTAACTCCCGTCTCGAAGCTCCCGGGGCTGGGAGGCCCAGCTTCCTCCGGGGCCCCATTCCGTCATGGCGCATGGAGCCGCCCAGGTAGAAGCCCACCGGGAACTCACGGATGGTCCGCACCGGGCCCCGGCTCTGCCGGGGGCCCGCGTACGGCTGCAGCGCGCCGGGGCCGACGAGGCCACCGCCCCCGAAGAGGCCGCCCCAGCAGAGGCCACGAGAGAGGAGGGCAGCCAGGGGCAGCCGCGGGAGCGGCGCCCGTGGCATTCGCCAGGAGCGCCGGCGGCGGCGTGGGCGGCGGCGTTGGCGGCGAAGGGGCCGGCGCTCGGCGCTGTTCGAGGCAGCCGCGAGCCTCGAGCCGCCTGCGGCCCCCACCCTCCTTGCCGCCGGGGGGGGCGGCGCCAACCGCCTCCTCCTCCTCCTCCTCCTCCTCCTCCTCCTCCTCCTCCTGGTGCTGCTGCTCCTCCCAGAACTCTCCTGCGAGAGGAACCGTTTGCTTAGCGTGTCGCGGCGGCGGCCCCAGCGACACGCTGCGCCCCGCAAGCAAAACGTGTCGCTCTGCTCCGCGCTGCGGAAGGCCAGGAAAAAGCTCGGGACGTTGACGCTTGAGACTGGTAGAAAGCTCGGGACGTCAGCGTGTCGCGCCGAGGCGCGGTGGGCCAGAACTGGCGGCGCGCCGCGCTAACCGAAAGTTCCCGACTGTGGTAGCCTCCTCCACCTCCTCATTCTCCTTCTCTCATCATCCTCATCCTCTTCCTCTTCCTCCTCCTCCTCCTCCTCATCATCATCAGCATCAGCATCATAATCGTCATCAGCATCAGCATCATCATAATCGGCAGCATCATCGTCATCAGCATCAGCATCAGCATCAGCATCAGCATCAGCATCATCATCATCATCATCATCATCATCATCATCCACATCATCGTCATCAGCAGCATCATCATCATCATCCGCACCATCGTCATCATCGAGGGTGCGCCGCTGGATCTCCCCAAGGGGGGGGCGGGGTTCGGACCCCCCCCCCTTCCCCGATCCGTCGTCGGGGACCCCCCGCCCCCCCCCCCCCCCCCCCCTTTTCAAAAGGGAGGGGGGGGGGTCCGAACACCCCCCCCCCCCCCCCTTTGGCCGCAATCCCCCCCCTCCCCCCCTTTCGCCACGCCGCCCCCTGACTCCGGAACCCGACCCCCGCCACCCCTACCCCTAGTCCTCACCCCAACCCAAACCCCTTAACCCTAACCCCAACCACTAACCCCAGCTCCAGAGGGTACTCACTACTCAC